TCTGCCCTGTATACCCATCATTGTGTCCCCGGGAATACTGGTCCCTTCCTGTCCTGACCCGCCACAAGGAACGGACTACAACCCTCAACATTCCCAACTACATCACACCACGTGACTCTGCCCTGTATACCCGTCATTGTGTCACTTCCTGTCCTGACTCTCATAGGGGATGACAGTTCTGTGTGTCACACTCTATGGGCACAGAAGTATCACTTTGTTCCATCTCAGTGCTGCTGATCTCCTCCGGCTTCTTTCACACACTTCCAAGCATGGCCTCCACTAGACCTCTGAAGGTGCGCTGTGGTATCTGGATGACCCCCCTAATATTGAGTAGGTCCCCCTTCTCCTGACCCGTCCAGGCATGGACCCCACTAGACCCCTGGAGGCATGCTGTGCTATCCGGCACCGAGGCGTCAGTAGCAGATCCTTGAAGTCCTGTAAGCTGTGAGGTGATCGGCCTCCATGGATCGGACTTCCAGCACATCCCACAGATGATCGATTGGACTGAGATCTGGAGAATCTGGGGTCATCACCTCAGACTCGTTGTTGTGTTCCTCAAACCATTCTTGGACCATTTTTGCAGTGTGGCCGGGCGCATTATCCTGCTGAGAGGTCCCTGCCATCAGGGAACACCGTGTCCATGAAGGGGGGGACTTGGTCAGGGACAATGTTTAGGTCGGTGGTCCGTGTGACCTTTCTATCAGAACCAGCGATGACGTCTTCAGCAATTCGATCTCCAGTATCTCTTCTATTGGCTCGGACCACACGGACCAGACTTCCCTCCCCGCCCCCATCCATCAATGAGCCTTGGCCACCTATGACCCTGTCACCGGTTCATTGTAATATATCCCCCCCCCCACTTCCAGATACCATTGTAATATAGCCCCCCACTTCCAGGTGTCATTGTAATATATCCCCCCCACTTCCAGGTGTCATTGTAATATATCCCCCCCACTTCCAGGTGCCATTGTAATATATCCCCCCCACTTCCAGGTGTCATTGTAATATATCCCCCCCACTTCCAGGTGTCATTGTAATATATCCCCCCCACTTCCAGGTGTCATTGTAATATATCCCCCCCACTTCCAGGTGTCATTGTAATATATCCCCCCCACTTCCAGGTGTCATTGTAATATATCCCCCCCACTTCCAGGTGTCATTGTAAT